ATCTCCTGGAATCGACAAACACGATACCTGGGCGTGACGATGGACCAGCGTCTCACGTGGAAACCGCACATCGTGGAGACGGTGGCGCGAGCGAAGACCACCAGGGCTAGGCTCTATCCCTTACTCAAAGGTGGAAACACCCTCAGTTTAAGGAATAAGCGAACGCTTATCAAGGTGGTACTTCAACCGCAGCTAACCTACGCCTCCACGGCGTGGGGTCACGCGGCAAAAAGCCACTTAAAGTCATTACAGGCTGTGGAAAACATAGCCCTCCGCACGGCCACCGACGCGCCCTGGTACGTAAGAAACACTGACATATTACGAGACTTACAATACACAAACGCTACACAGACAATAAGACAAAACGCGGAGAAACGATTTGACGTAGCCGCTAGACATGACAATCCCCTCCTCAGGCAAGCCGTTGACTACGTACCCGACGTGACCGACAAACACAAAAGACCTAGACACCAACTTTTTGACCCTGGGTGACCACCCCAATGACCCCCCCCCCTGCCCGCTAACCTTTTCTGTTTCAGAGACAGCCAGGATCAAGAAACGAAGACAACGACACACACACACACATACACACCCCCCATACCCTCCTTAACCCTCCCCTCCCGCGCTAGCCTAAGGGCCACCTTAGCAAAGCGCATCCCAGGCTGCATAGCCGCACTACCCTACCCAACCATACCACACATAAACATGACACTACCCCCGGGGTTTACACAGACGAGCCGGCGAAGCAAGAAGAGCGCCAGAAGAAAGGGCCCTAGCCGGCGGGGCCCAGCCAGGACAAAAGGAGGTCCCACAAAGCGCCTACACCGGCCGCATTTGCGGTCGGGGTAGACGACGGATGGGGCCCACCTACGAAGGCTGTCCAGGCCTACACGAGATGAGGCAGGATAAAGAGGGATAATCCCCCTCGATCCCAAATCATTGAGGCCAATTTCTAGCCATAGAATAATGGCGCGCGCTACTAGCCGTCTCATTTATTTTGTCTCTGGGTGTTTCCTTAGCCAACAGAGTCTAGTTTGAATACCTGTCACCAGGCGAAGATTTGACCTAGACATAGCCAGGTATTTTTTGGCTGTGTCCCTGCTAGGATACACTAAGAGCTCCTTAGTAAAGTGACAGCTGATTGTTTCATCCCAACGTTTCAAAAATTCTTTGTGGGTGTCTTCCTTGATAATTCCAACAAGTGCCGACAACGGAAGCACACTGGAGGGGCCGG